GCGTGCTTCTCTTGCGACGGGCGTATACATGGTACATGGTGTGTGTGTGTGTGGGGGGGGGGGGGGGATGGGTGTGGGTGCATGTGTGGAAGAAGGCCGCTACTGTGAGCTGTGTGGTTCACGTCAGGGGCTTGGTTACTATATTAGTGATGATCGGTTAGTCTCCCAGAGACCTACAAGCTATTGAAGAATGCATTCTAATGCAACTTGAGTCAAATTAGTACCTTGCTTCGTCATGTTGTGAGGAATTTACGATTGCTCCTTTGGTGTAAGAGGTAGCAGCCGTGCACGGTGTTAAGGAGACCTGTGCTTGCGCCTTTTCACCTCCTCCACTCTCTCTGTCTCTCTCTCTCTCTCCCTCTCTCTCTCTCTCCCCCCCTCTCTCTCTCTCTCTCTCTCTCTCTCTCTCTCTCTCTCTCTCTCTCTCTCTCTCTCTCCCTCTCCCTCTCCCTCTCTCTCTCTCCGTGCCTGTGTTCTGTTGTAACAGAAATGCGACAAGGCGTTCAAACACGGCGGACAGTTACACCGACACCAGCAAGTGCACGACAACTCTCCTGGCAATCGGCATGTCTGTAAGGAGTGCGGACGGGGCTACACAACGAAACACAACCTCGACCAACACAAGATGGTAAGCCGTGCGCACGTACTCCAACGACTGCCGTGGTGTGTATATGAGCACATTGCTCTATGACATACTAGTACTTTAATTTTTGCACCCCCAACACCCCGCACAGCCTCCACCTTTTTTTTTGACCTTTTGACGCCCATCGCCGGAGGCGATGATAGCAATGCTACGGCAGAAGCCATGGCAACTTGTGCTGGGATTGCACCATTCAACAGCTTGCAAGGCTGAAGAATTGACCGTCGCTATTCAGCCTGGTCTACACCATACAGCTATTTGAAGTGACTTCACAGTCACCTGGGCATGGTTGAGTTGTGTGTTGAACAGTGCATTGCTGATCCCAGTGTACTCACCTGCATTACTCAGGCAGGTCCATATTTGGCAATGCGTAATGGGCTTGTTGCTCTCGTCTTTGCTCCCAAACCCCTTGTGTCACGCGCCACTTTACACGAACCCAAGCGCACAGCACTCTCAATTGGCACAGTGAGCATCCAGAGCATCCACATATGCGTGCATGAATGTTGCCAATGTGAAGATAACCCCTGGGCACCTGTACTTGCGCACGCCGCCTCGGGGCGGTGGCACAATCAATATTATGGCGTTTGCGGTGAAGGACACATTGAAACCATCCAGGTGTTTATGTACTGTACAACGGTGCTACAGTCGTCCCTTTAAAATCCGGCATCATTGGTGTCACGGAGATTCTGCTGGATTAGAAAATCTGATCTACTGCTGCAATGTGCATGAAGAGACATTTTGCTACTGAAAATTATGCTGGTTTATAGAGGGTGCTGGTTTATATGAAAAGTAAAGTTCGCACGTCCGTGTTACAACCGGCTTCACAATTGCGTTGAGAAATACAACCAGCTCAGGAAGTTTGGCTGGTTTATAAAGTGCTGGATTAAAGAGGGACGACTGTATGAGAAGCAGCCTGCACCTGTGCACAAGCTGGTGCGAGGAAGCACGTGTGATGCGTTGACATCCGCTACACTCCAGCAGGTTGCTTTCTGCAAGCTCCTTTCTAGGGCTGTGTTATAGGTGCACTGAGTCTCTGAGAGCAGCCGCGAGCCATGCAATGATCTCGCCCCCCCCCCCCCCCCCCGCACACATGTTAACGCGTTCCATGTGGTCTGTGTGTGTATGTGTGTGCGTGCGCGCGTGCTCGTGTATGTGCGTGCACGTGTGCGTGTATGTGTGCGCGCGTGTATGTGTGCGCGCGTGTATATGTGTATGCATGTGCGTGTATGTGTGTACATGTGCGCGTATGTATGTGCGTTCTTGTGTGTGTACACGCGCGTGCATGCGTGCACCTCACAGATACACAATGGCAAATCATTCGACTGCACGGTATGCAATAAGCGCTTTGTGCGCAAGCTCCACCTGGAGAACCACATGCGTACACACACGGGTGAGCGGCCGCACATCTGCAAACTCTGCAACGCTAGCTTTACGCAGGCAAGTGGCCTGGCACGACACATGCGTACGCTGCACAAAGACGGGTCGGTGCACACGACGCCACGCAAGCGGCGAACGAACGGCGAGCGTAAGATTGTTAACTCCACGGTTGCTGCTGTTGCTGGCAGCTCGCTCGGATTGGCGTCGCACGCAGGACCAACAATCGCCGTTTCGTCAATACAACTACCCCCAGTCATGCCAGTTACGGGCGCTAGTCGTGTTCACGTATCACCCGTGGCTACCGCTGTATCATCGTTGTCACCGTCACCTGCACAAGTTGCGGCATCGCTAGCCGCTACAGCAGCAGCAGGCCTGCCGCCGACGACACCACAAGCCTTACAACAGGCAACGGCAGCGGGGAAACGGCGGAAACGTCACGACGACGGCTCCAGTAGGAAGTCGTGAAGCGTGTGTTTTGTCTGTCAGTCTCTCTCTCTCCATGCGTCTTTGTCTCTGATTATCGTTCGTCATCGTGTGGGAAATTCGTTTGAGAAATGTTGTCCAGCGGACTCTGTCTTCTTGACCAAGACCCCTCAATAACAAATGATGCCATTTGCTACTGTTTGCTGGCTGCGAATGTGTGTGTAGCATTCTATCATCCCCTCCAGTACAGCTCTATGCACCGTCATTTTTAGCCGTCTCCCTGTGTAGCGTGTATGTAGTGTTATGTAGCGTTTTGTGCTACGTGCACTGTTCTGTATCCTTGTGTAGCGCTGGTGTAGTGACTGCCATATTTTCACCGCTGATGATGCCACTGCCACCCCATGCCATGCAGTTCAGCACGTCACATGACCTGCTGCTGAACGAATACCCCATCCAGTAGTCCCTAGACAACAATAATAGAACCCCATGCCCAGTAGAATGACATCATCATCAGTATCCTCAACACCAGCATGATGGCCACAGTAATGGTCATGACATCATCCCGACAAGAACCAGCATAGATTGTCTTGTCTGTTGTTGTTGTGTTTTTTTTTGTACAGCTGTGTGTCCGTGCTGTAGTAGTATAATAGACCCCGTGTTTCTCTCATTGATTCAGTCTGCTACTCATCATCCTGCTGCAGCTCAGCAATGGCGTGTTTTTCTTCTCAATTTTAACGGATCTTGCATTTTCAATATTAATTACCACTGTCAGATAAAGTTGATACCCTGCGTAGCTTGTAGCCTAATGTAGGTAAGCTGTAACTTTGCGCTGTTCTCCGTTAGTATGTGTGTGTGTGTGTGGGGGGGGGGGGGGCGTTGCTATATTCTTTATTTATACCGTAAAGTACTGTCAGAGCGCCTCGTCTCGCGAGAGCGCCCCACCCTGAATTACGGAAAGAAGACTCTCGTTTCCGGCCATAGAAGTCCCGGCCATGATTATGGTCTGGTGCGACTGAAGTCGCAGGTTTCACTCTGTTTTGCAACACTGTCGTTAGAAGGTGCTCTCTGTAGACGAGGTTGGTGATGTCCCGGTATGCCTTGGGTAGGCCTTCACCACGCCGGCTACACATTGGTTGTCCCCCATTAGTACCATGTACCACTGATGGTGACAGTGACTGTTGTCAGCTGACGAGCTGAGAGAGGAACGCCATGGGCAGAAGTTGGAGTTAAAGCCAATGAAGGGGAAGTAAGTTAAGGCAAAAATCAAAATTTCACCAGTTGTAGTCTTCGGGGTGCTGAGTCGAATGGTCGTGGTCCGAGGAAGCTGAGACGCTACCTTCCTACTTTAATCCCAATCGAACTCGCGCACTTCCACCGAAACTGGGTGACTGCGCCCTACGAGATGGGGATTTGTATGCAAAATGTCACTAAAAGCGCCATTTCGTTCTTATAAAAGCACGGATGACCGCGATTGGCCCATATGTTGTAGTTTTTTGGACGCTGAGTCGACTGGTTTTGGTCCGAAAAGGCTGCGATGCAGCGTTCCTCCTTTATTCCCAATCGAACATGGTTGAACAAGCGGTCGCGTGCTCCTGCGTACACCAGTCACCTGCCTGGTCATGGTCACCGTGCCTGCAGGGTACAACTCATTACTTACTAGTAAATACTAGCCTGTTTGGGTTGGTTCACATATCGCCGGTACGCGCCGGGAGTCACCGGCGGTGGGCTTCTTGCAACCTCTCCCGGCGCATTGCGATTGTGTGAACCAGTGCAGTCGTAACAAAATCATACGGTAAAATATCGCAAGGGACCGCCGGCAAAGTTGGACAGTGCCCAACTCTTGCGATCTGCCCCGGCGCCGATCCCGTACAATTTTGACCAAAAGTGGTTTGTGAACCGTTCGCGCCGGTGATCGCCGGGAGCCAGACTTTGTCAAAATATCAAACCAATACTTGTCCTAAATTTTCCTAAATTGAAGCTAGAGAGGAAGTCCGTTCACCATTCTTGTAGTCGCTTCAAGCTGGCAAATAAGTCAGCATACCAGCCCGTCCTTCTCGGATGATCTGCTTGACCATTGTGCAACTTATGAGACAAATACAATTGAAACAAATAAAAATATGATGGATCATGTGACATTGGCAAGTTCTTGTGACTTCACCAAGGTTTGCAAGCATAATTTCGACACAATCGTTTACTAGACTGCAATAAAATGTGTAGAAGTAGTTTCATGATCTCCAGTAAAAGGTACTTGCACCGAGTGGCCATTACCGAAAGACCTTGAACTACTGAAGAAACAAAGAATTCAAGCTTCAATTGGAAAACCTGTCGTAGCAATTTGGCACATTCTGTCTTTGTAGTAGATTTGGTACTCGAACCGTAGGCGCAACGGATCGGGAGCTGGCTCACCGCCGATGTCTTGCGGCGCCGATTTTGCTTATGTGAACCAACCCTTTGACCTTTTTTGGGTGCACTTCTGTCACTCGAGTTGAACCTTGATGACGTGAAATGTGTCGCCTGCTGGCGTGGTGACCGGGTGATTTGGGCCCAGGAGCACGTGACCACTTGTTCAACCATGTTCGATTGGGAATAAAGGAGGAACGCTGCATCGCAGCCTTTTCGGACCAAAACCAGTCGACTCAGCGTCCAAAAGACTACAACACATGGGAAGACTACAACTGGTGAAATTTTGATTTTTGCCTTAACTTCCCCTTTAAGGAATATTTGGGCTACTGTAAAACCGGAAAGTTTAACGACCAAAAAGTTTAACGTTTTCGTAGTTTTGGCATGATAACGTGCAGAAAGTTCACCGATGGCCACCTGGCCACCCATCTGTATGCGCATCTTTGCACAGACATCTAGCGATAACGTTTTTTCAAATAACGAAAAATAATTGGTCGTTAAAACGTTAGACTTTGTGACTAGACTTTCCCGTTTTAATGTACTGAGTTTTGACCACTACTTACTACACATCACGCCATTCATGGTGTAGGCTCACGCTAGAGCTCGGCGTTGAGCACTTGCACTCGCAGCTCGTATCATACAAAAGAAAAGAATCGGATGCACATGACAAACAGTGCTGCTGGCAACTGAAATCCGAACCCCTGGGCGGTGCGTTCACTTTCTAGTTCTAGCGGTCTCTATTTCGTCACGGTAGTGTTACGATGTGAGCGCCCCGGTCAGGGGGCCGGATTTCAGTTGCCAGCACTGTACATGACATTGTACTTACACCGATTCACGTGACGTAGCTCGCATACTGCATAGACTAGTGACACTCCAAAAGCCTCTTTTACGGGCAACAAAACACAATTTGCCAAGATGAAGCAAATGAAAGAAAAAGAACTATTAAAATAGTAATACTTCATTGTCTTCAATAAGCCAACCTATACCAATACTGCATAGTGACTATCAATGATGACAGAGTGTAGCTAGCTAGACCATGGATTGGTAGATCATGGTACATACATGACAATGTACTTGGAAGACTAAGTACAGTCATGTACAAGTCTACAGTACGGACAGTCAGTGGGTCGACCTTCTACATGTACGTACTACGTAGATCTAGTACAGACAGTGCAGTACCCAGTACTAGTCAGTATAGTAGGTCCTCTGCACTCAACTGGACCGAGTGCATGCTGTGAGTATGCCCGCGCACTGACATGACGTGCTCGTCCTCACCCGCGCGCACACGCAAGCGCTCTCGATCTCACGATCAGCTCCACCGTGTTCGCGCACGCGTGTGCGGCCTAGCACCTTGACATATAAAACGAGCGAACACGTAGCGCGTGTGAGCGTTTCATTGTGACTGCCTGCTAGCTGTTGGAAACGTTTTTCGTCGTATTTTGTGTTGGCCATTCTGATTGTGTGGGAGGCTTGAAAGGAGAAGGAGAAGAGCTGTTTGAACGCAGAGTCTAGTTGCCTGTCGTATATTGAGAAAATCCGCTTTCGATCGTTGACGCGTGTTGTCTCAGCGCTTGTACATCAGATGCCCCCTGCGTTCGCAGGTTTAATACTGTAGTCCCCGACAGTTCACAAAATAGTTTTTTGTCGGAGCAGAAGCTCTACGATTCTAGATCGAGTTGTCAGCTTGGTGAGCGAGCACTGCATGCTGCGAGAAAAGCTGTAGCATTGATTTTAGGCTGTATCCTAGGTCCTGGATCGCTCCGCTGGTTCCCTGCACAGGCCGTTTGGTGTTGATGTAGCGCCTAGTCGAATCGTTCTCGTGTGTGTGCCTGCATACGTGTAGCAAGTACGGTTGTTAGTTGTGACACTGGCTAGATCCAAGGCACAGCAGATAGTGTGCAGCGTGGGAGTAGGTTGCTGGACTGCCTCCACTCTACTAGTCTAGATCAGATCGTGTGGACTGACTGTGTTCCCGGCGTGCTGAACAACCGAGCCGAAGCCGGCTACACTACAAAACGTTCCCTGTGGTGTATGCTGTGTGTGCTGCCACCGGCAGTCGGTACGGAAGCAGTGCAGTGTGTGCATGTGTCACACGAACCGGTCCTGAATTATTATTGTGCTGCAAGCGTGGCAGGCCGTGCGACATCTCCTGCCTGTTGCTGTTGTCCCATGTGACAATCCGGTAGCAGTCCAGATCAGCTTGCATACGGATTTTAGCCTGACGAGCTCCACCGCTGGCCGACAGGATCAGTCGCTATCATCTGTCTCTGTGTCAGTCGGTCTGCCCTAAAGTAAGTAGTTACTTTCGTAAGTACATGTACATGATTGTACAGTAGTTTGCATAATAATTATGGGTTGAGATGGCAGTGCCAGTAGATCATAACAGCTGCTTGCATAACGTCGACTACGTGCGTGGGTGAGTGCGGGGTAGGGGCCTTTCGTGTCATCTCTTGTGGCTGATTCTCATGTATTTTGATCCAAGTAGTTAGCTGGTTGTCAACCCGTCATGATTATGCATGTCTGAGATAATAAAGCTGTGTGGACCCTGGCTAGTGCCAGGCGTTACTAAAGTAACGTCTTTTGCATAGCTGCGGGAATTGAATATTTTTTTCGACAATCAGAATTGAAGATCACCAGATTTTCTTGGTGAGCGAGGTGAAATGTCAACGAGTTCTGGCTGTCAAATAGAAGCGGCAAATGCCTGTACATGTGGTGTTAGGCCGCGGTCACACCGAAACAAGCCACTTTGGGCTTGTTATCGCTGGCGCTCAGCTGGCTTGTGTGCTCCCTGTCGAGCGGTCACACCAGACATTGAGTGCAAAGCTTGAATGGCTTGTTTTTTTCGCCCGGCAAATTTTGAATATCTCGAAACGCACCAACGTTCGTAAGAAATCGGAAAGCAGAACAGTGGTGATCTACAACTTTCTTCATGAAGTCAGTCATGAGTTTGGTGCCTTTTCTTGGCCTCGAACCACAGCTCCAACAATCTACGCTCTAGAGGCACAGTCCAGGAATCCATGGTCATCGCAGAACGTCAAAATCAAACTGAACTGTTGGATAGACAGACACTGTCAAAACCAAAGCCAAGGCGAAGGCATACATGTAGCACGGAAACAAGAAGGAACATCGATATCAGTTCCAAGATCCTCTCCTCATCGACATCAGTTCCTAGATCCTCGCCTCATCGACATCGGCTCACGTTCACTACAACTACAAGTCTACAATGGTGTGTTCCAAGCGCACTCAAAAAATTTGGATTTCGGCTTTCAGCCGCTTGTACAAGCTGTGGCTGAAACAAGCGGAAATAAATGGCTGAGAGTCAGCCACGACTGAAAGTCACTTGTAGGAAAGTTTTCAGCAATTTCCATGGTAAACAAGCGCTTTTTTCCGGCTGAATGGCTAAATCGAGCTCGGTGTGACCGTGGCCTAAGGCACTTGAGGTGGCTGAGGTCTTATCTGTGCACATGAAGACAGACGATTCCCCCTGGACATACCACTCTGGGGCCTAATAAATTGCAACTCCAGAGGAGAGGGCTACACGGCTTGCTGTTGTTGTTTTATTCAAGACAAGGAGGAAGAGGAAATGATTGCACGTGCGTATATGACTGTAGTGGTGGTGTGTATATGATAGGACGCCACCACCCTGCAAAAATCAAAGGCGCAGATGCAGCTCCTAAAGCAGTGGGAGGTGAGTAGATCAGCTCACTCACCAAAGTGGCAGGCACAGTGGGATGGCCTAAGACCATGATTGAGAAGCAGAGGGTTTGGGACATAAGGACTTCGAATTTTAACGGATTTATCTGAATTCGTTTTAAAAAATCAATAAAACTAGCCGTTCCTAAAATAACAGCGGTCTTACAGTAGCGTCAAAGTTATCTGCCCCCCCTCCCTCCCCGTGCAAAGCTGGCTGTGTTTCTCACAGTTAGTGTTGCACTCTGACATTGAAGCTCTGAGCCGGTTTTGAAATGCTTTGTTATTCTGAAGTTAACCTCGGGTTGTTTTCGACTCTGGATCGAGTCCTTCGTGCCTTTTACTCTCTTTTTTTACTGTTTCGGATAGTTGCCGTGGTTGGATATCACCCTTCATTTCACATTCGTTTGTCATTGGCAGTTGTTTGTCGAGTCAGGAATTGTATTGTTGAATAAATACAAAAATAAAATACAAGGTTGATGCAGCTAGCTGTCAGGAGATTGAGTATCTGTGCAGGACCACCGGAAGCAGTTTTTTTTTGGTACGGCCGCCCTACCACTGCCCTACCACTGCCCTACCACTGCCGTTCATACTTTGTGTATGATGTGGCGGATACGTTACACATGACCACCTCGTTAGCTAACAGCCGTTGCTGGCCAACAAGTTGGTCCGGCCATGGCCACCGACCAACCGCACCGGTTGCACTGCCCCTGCTGTATTTCTACTGTGAATTAGCACAGAAGCTTGAGTGATAGGATTGGACTACAGGCTTGTCAAGAAAGTCTTGGACAACATAGAACCAAAAGGAATTTACCTCGGGTGCTGAGCCAATAGTAAAATGTAAAAAAAATGTTCACGGTTCGCGTGAGACTCGGCTAGAGGCCGAGTTTTCCACATCCGTAGGAACACCGCCACCCTCAAGGATCAAGGCGCAGATGCAGCTCCTAAAGCGGTGGGAGGTGAGCAGATCAGCTCACCAACAAGTGGTCAAAGACCGAAAATTCCATTCACTGCATCTAATGTAAAAATGAGAAAGGACAAATGGTCGTCCAGGCCGTTGAATGTCTCAATAGTCTATCAGTTGAATGTCTCAATAGTCTATCAGTTGAATGTCTCAATAGTCTATCAGTTGAATGTCTCAATAGTCTATCAGTTGAATGTCTCAATAGTCTATCAGTTGAATATCTCAATAGTCTATCAGTTGAATGTCTCAATAGTCTATCAGTTGAATGTCTCAATAGTCTATCAGTTGAATGTCTCAATAGTCTATCAGTAGAATGTCTCAATAGTCTATCAGTTGAATGTCTCAATAGTCTATCCGTTTTGTTGCTTAGTTACCACACTGGCTTTCTGACTGCTTAGTATCTTGTTACGGTAGTGGATAGTTCCTTCGTAACTCGTAACCCATGTGTCCTTTCTCATGTTTACAGAAGGAATTTGGTTTAAAATAACAGCCTCATTAACAAAACAAAAAAGAGGAAAGAAATATGTGAAGTAGATGACTGAGTTTTTGCTGTATGCTGCACGTTTCAAGTTGTGGCCTGTTTAATCACAATAATTATGTGTGTGTGTGTGTGTGTGTGTGTGTGTGTGTGTGTGTGTGTGTGTGTGTGTGTGCGCGTGTGTGGTCGTGCGCATGCATGTGCGTGCGTATGTGTGATGTTTTTGTTCCCAGTACTTGCTAGCCACCCGACATGGCGTTCAGTTTGGAATCCAGCCCCAGAATCAAAGCGGAAATGAAAGACAGTTTCGATGCCGTGGGTTTCAATGCCGTGGATGCAATCAGAGGATCCGTCGCCGCTGCCGCATCGTCAGAATTGTCCGTTTTGGACGGCGCCCCTGGTGCAGCAGTGATGCAGACACATCCTGACAATACCACGGTGGCACATGGCGTATCATCATGTCCCGGCGTGTCCCCTCCAACGACCGCCGCCACCGTCATCTCCACGGCCGCCATTGCCAGTGGTAGTTGCGCTGCTCAGGGTTCCATAGCCTCTTTCCCCAAAGCAGCGGTCACTCAGCGCGCCCTGCCGCGTATGAAATACCCATGCCCGGTGTGTCACAAGGTGTTCAACACCAGCCAAGAACGCTCTGATCACGAGACTGCACACAGCTCGTCGCACGCACCGTCACCAGCAGCAGTCGGTAGTAAAAGCGCGGCGACGTCGTCGCAGCCCTCGGCGGCTGTGACGGCCGCTGAGCCCCCCAGAGCTTCTGTCGTGTCTCCAACCGTGCCTCAGAATATTCAACTGCCCGCGGGTGACGTGCAGCCACAGAAACAGCTGCTGCGCCAGCAACAGCAGCAACAGCAGCAGCTGAAGCAATATCAGCACTGTCAGAAACCACAGCAACCACAGCAGCAGCAACAACAAGAAGAACAGCATCAGAAACAGCAACAGTTGCAGCACTTACTACAAGTACAAGAACAGCATCAGCAACAGCATCAGCAACAGTTACAGCAACAGCAACAAACCCTACAGCAACAGGTACAACGGCAGCAACTGGACCTACAGGAGCAGCAGCAGCAGCAGCAGCAGGGCCAAGCCTCTGGTCTGTCGATACCGGCCTCTTCACCTATCGCCGAGCAGATGTTACCGATGACGGGCCTGATGCCCTTCCACCAGCACGTAGCCAGCCACACGACCATGTCTGGTGGCCATGGAAACACCTCCCTGCTATCAGCAGTGAGTAACACCTTACTGCCAGGTCAAGCACAGGCAATGTCCATGGAGGCTATATGTATGCTGTGCGGCCAGTCTTACCAATCGCTGAACCCCACAGGTCGACATTGTCCCGTGTGTCTTGCCAGCCTGAATGGCTCTGCGCCGTCGAGTGTAATCGCCGACAACCAGTCTGAGTGGCACAGCCCAGCGGCCGCCACCTCGTTCACATGCTCCGAGTGTAGCCTGGCGTTTGCCGACGCGCTGACTTGCCGCACTCATCTGGTCAGCCACTTCCCAGGCGTGGCCAGTTCCATAGCCAATGCCAATCACCTGGTGGTCTGCACTCAATGCTCACTGGTTTTCCTGACCGAGGAGGACAAGCTCGAGCACCGGCAGAAGACGCACGGCTCGTTCCTCTGCTCCGAGTGTCGTCTGGCGTTTCCCGACGCGCTGACATGCCGCACTCACCTTGTGGGCCACTACCCGGGCTTGGCCAGCTGCATATCTCGCACCGGTCAAACTGTGGTCTGTGCTCCCTGCTCCCTGGTCTTCTTGACCGAGGAGGACAAGGTGGAGCATGAGCAGCAGTTTCACGCTGCGAGTGGGCACGGAGTTGGTGCTGGAGTCGGTGCTGGTGAATCTGCTGTTTCGACTTTCGGAACCTCTGGCTATTCTCGTGGCGCAGCTGCAGTTGGTGGTCGTGGTGCCGCGAGTAGTATGAGTGCGGTACAGGTGGGGCAAGTGAGCGGCAGTCGCACACAACTGTCGTCGCTGAGCGATGCGCAGCGTCATGGGGCGGAGGCAGCTTTGCAACGGGTGCTGTCACTATCGCCAGTGGCGGCACCTCCCCCTCACATTGCTCCACCGTATGTACAGGGGCTGTCTGATCCGTTTAGCTCTACAAATGACCGGCAGTCAACTGCAGTTACGGCTGCAGCAGCAACAAGTTTGGCAACTGTTAACAATGGCAGCACGAGTAGCAAAGTCCAACAACAACGGCAGCAGCAGCAGCCACCCACGCTTCGTTCCATCCAGCACCATTGCCAGCACTGCCCGGCAAAGTTCCCGAGTCTGCCGGAGCTGTCCAAACACCAGATGCACTGCCGGTCTCGGTCACAATCTACAGCACCGAGTACTGAGAAGACTGACTCCGATATGGCGACCTGTAAGCTGTGCCATCGTCTCTACCTTACATCGAATGCACTGGCCCTGCACATGCAAGAGGCGCATCCCAATGTCGAGTGCGTCGTAGCAAGTAGCTCACCGGCAGTGCCCGTTAGTGCTGGCGACTCTACGAGCTCAGCTCACCTAACGCCGCCTGCCACTGGTCACGACAGGAGTACCACAAATTCCGACGCTGGAAGTGGGCGATCTCCCGTAGTGACCGAAGCACGGCAGTCAGGCCAAGTAGCAGAATCTGTACCCTTCAGCGCGTCTCACCCTCCAGCTGGTTCCGACGCACGCATTCCGGCAGGGTCTACATCAGCAACAGCTCAGACGAGCTCGTCTCCTCCAGTCGCCGATCTTGTCCTGACCTCCTCCTCCTCCTCTACCAGCATAGGCATTCCTGTGTCTGAGTCGCCGCCAGCATCGCACACTTCCAGCCGCAGCTCAGCGGCCAGTCCTCCTGGGTCCAGCGTGCATCTGACAGATCACTTGCCGCCCGAGTACATCGTCGGCGAAGAAGTCATCAATTGTGAAACGCCAGAATCGACGGGCTCAACAGCGGATGACAGCGAGCTGACTGAGGTCTCTAGTACACCGCCGGAAGAGAGTGGTGCAGGCGTCAGATATAGTCCACCAGTGCATGCTCACAGTGTTCCTCCTGCTCCTCCTGCTGCTGCTGCTCCTCCTGCTGCTGCTGGTGATAACATGACTGGAAGCCCCGTCGCTAGTAGTAGCAGCAGCAGCAGAAAGACTATTCCATGCCCGGAGTGCAACAAGATGTTCGCGACCACGTACCGTATGAGGGAGCACTGCATCACGCACGAGCTGTCCAGGGCGCAGCGCACCATGGCCGAGAACGGCATATTTCCGTGCGCCGTCTGCAAGCGGACGTTCACATCCCTAGAGCTACTTGGCACGCACCATGAAGTACACATCGGTAAGTGTGGGTCAGATTCACGCATGATGCATACACACTGTAATGAGCGAATGGCAAGAGCGTATTTGCTATACATATTGTTTGCTAGCGCTGCCAGGCCGTTCGATTTATCGGACACTGTCGGTAAACTCATGCTCGATCCGAGAACCTATCCAAAAAGAGCTTTCTGATTTCAACCGAAAATCGAAATTTGTGTTGCATGTGCGTGCAACTTGATGAAGTCCTCGCTTATTTGGGAGTTCGATGGTAAACCTCGCGGCATTCGCGTTTCCGTTTCCTTGCGCGTTCTGCAGATCAGCTTGAGAAGAACGCCGTCACCAATGCCCTGGTATGCGAGGTGTGCCACAAGGAGTTCCCGTCCAAGTTCGGCATGATGCGCCACTACCTGGTGCACGCTGGCATTCGGCCGTACGAGTGCAGCGTGTGCAAGAAGCGTTATCGTGAGGAACGCACACTCAATCAGCACATGGTCCTGCACACGGCTGGCAAGCTGTTTAAGTGCAGCGAGTGCGATAAGAAGTACGCGTCAGCCTACTCTCTTGCCCAGCACAAAGCTGTCCATACAGGTGAGCATCGTGATTGTTAGTGTGACAAGAACACAAACCTGGCTCAGGTCAAATACCTAGAAAATATACAAAAAATTCTAGGGGTGAAACGGTTACCCTTTAATGAAACAAACGGGTATCTGGCTTAACGGGCGGGTTATCGGGTACCCTTTATCCGCCATACTTTTTCCAAAAACATTACATTTGCTTGTGATCGTAAGCGCAACATGTCTTTTACAGGCATTCTGATAGGGGAGAGATTTTCGGGCAACAGTTACTACTATAGCCTTCCGGATTTCACGCCAGGAGAATATGCGAAGTCATGCAAGTACACTACACCGCGACAAGCACAGCGTGCACACTCACTGCCCTACATGCAAACAGTGAAAATTGTCGTAGCTACAATGGATACTGTGATATGTAGCAGGATTGAACGAGGAAAAACACACTCAAAACTACATGTGCACCCAACTGTACAACTGTACAAGCAAGCTTATAATGCTGTACCCTACCATCCTACACGACTATCGGGTACTCGTTTGCTAACGGATCAGCAGCTAAACAGACGGGTACCCGGGTTACCCGGATCACCCCTTTCACCCCTAAAAAATTCACAGTTCGCGTGAGACTCGTCAGGGGTTTTCCACATCTGCAGGAACGCCAACATCCTCTAGGATCAAGGCGCAGATTCAGCTCCTAAGACTAAGTGGTAGGAGATACCCCCGCCCCCCCAGGGAAACACCAAGAGGGATAAATAAATGACACCTATGCATAGTCTTCCCCCTTTTCTTTTCGTGCGGGGCGGCGGCTGTGCCACATGAAGGCGTGGGCCTTGTCGCTGCATATACTGGTTTGATGACTGCACGGCGCACGAGCTGAGCTCTGCACTGGTAAAGTGAAAGACAGCTACGGCCAGTGCAGTGCAGCTGATCACCTACACAAAGCACTGAATTGCTTTTTTTTAGATCCGATTTTTTGCTTGTGATTTGAATAACTTTGCTTGGGTTGGTTTTTCCCGTGGGTGGAACATTTTGTCAGTTCATTTGTTTCTCCCTGCAAAGAGACAGTGCTGGGACACGCACAATGCATCGTGTCAGGCTGCTCCAACCGGAAACCTTCTTGCAACTTCACAGTATAATAATTATTGCCAGTGAGGAAGAAAGCTGATAGGCTTAGAGTGCGGCAAAATGAAGATTGTCCGGCTCTCTTCTGGATCGTGTTGGATGTGGTAGAAAGGCTGAAGTTTGCGCACGCATCTCTTTTCATCGTCTTCCGAAAGAGGGGAAGCGGCTTCTAAGCCTTGTGTGCTCATTTTCGCTCGATGCCTCTTCTGCGAGCATAGGTGTTTCTTTTATAAGTACATTAATGAATAGAGAAAATATTGCGATCACCACTGGTTCTCCAAGAGTTGTCTCAGACCAACTGGCCAGCAGCGTGATTCATTGAAAGTGTATCACGCATGTATTCTCGCCGATTCTGTTTGCCTCACCACCTACGATGTGATCAGATGGCATGCTCCATCTCGACAGGTGTGCGTGCATGTGTGTGTGTGTGTGTGCGTGTGTATGGTGTGTGTGTGTGTGTATGGTGTGTGTGTGTGTGTGTGTGTGTGTGTGTGTGTGTGTGTGTGTGTGTATGTGGTGTGTGTGCATGCATGTGTGCGTGCATATGTGTATGTATGTATGCATGCATTTCCGGGTGTGTACGTGTGCGCACAGGTCGAGTTATCAAGCGTCACATGTGCCAGTTCTGTGAAAAGCCGTTCCGCACGCCCAGCGACCTCGCTCGACATGAACTGACGCACACTAAGGTGCGACCACACAAATGCACCATCTGTAACCTGTCATTCATTAAGAAGAATCAGCTCATGTTGCATGAGATGAGCGTGCACATGATTACCGGAGAAACCAACGGTGAGTTTATTGTGCTCTGGATTTGTTGTGATGTTGAACGAGTGGGCTGTGTGTGCACTGGTGCATACCCTCCGTGCATCCCCAGACCTGCCAATAGCGATTGTGCACTGGCGTAGGGCACTTCTCATTCCCAGACCCGTGGGCTGTGCACGGATGCAGGGCACTGTGCCGCCGTTGACCTATGAATGCTGGACTGTGCACCGATGCAGGACACTGTGCCACCGTTGACCTGTAAATGCTGGACTGTGCACCGATGCAGGACACTGTGCAGTCCCCTGAGCTGCAAGCACCAGGCTGTGCACGGCTGCAGGGCGCTAACGACCAACCGCTATGGGATGGGATTCATTCAGCATCCCTGTTCATCTAGTTGTAATACTTTTTAGTCAAGTGGTGTGCTTCACTGTCCGAAGAGTGCTCAATGCCCATGTAGGGCAGAGCCTTGTACACAAGAGAGAGTTTGGAAGCTTTGTCACAACTCCGAGTTTCACGTATCTCTACGATCTACGATTGCCTGATGATCGTAGAGATACGTGAAACTCGGAGTTGTGACAAAGCTTCCAAACTCTCTCTTGTGTAATACTTTTTATGAACTCTCACTGATAACATCTATCTATTGTGTGTTGTGTTGTGTACACTTTTGTCATCTCTGTTCACAGCTATTGCAGCCGCCCAGGCATCCTCCCACAGCGGTATTGACACACCAACAGTGGATATGGATGTCTCAAGTGGTTCCCTGAATGCAAGCTATGACTGCCTGGACGCAGGCCACAGCACAGCAGATACTGGTGTGAAGGGAGCACTTGCCGGTGGTTATTCATCTTCAAGCGGCAGGGCGGCTGCTTGTGACAAGGCCAGTAACAATGGAGGCAGTCCTGGTGCTGGTGCTGCTGCTGGTGGTGCTGGTGGTGGTACTGTGGTGTATTCGTACACGCCGTTCAACATGCAGGAAGATCTGTTCAGTGTGGCTGAGCAGCAAGAGGCAGACATAGTGCTGACCCTTACAGTGACATACTCTGACGACGAGGATGGTAGGTTTGTGCACGGAGAATGGCTTGGTGTGCCTGTTCATGTGTGCCTTTGTGTGTGTGTGTGTGTGTGTGTGTGTGTGTGCGTGTGTGTGTGTGTGTGTGTGTGTGTGTGTGTGTGTGCGCGCGTGCGTGCGTGAGTGTGTGTGTGTGTGTGTATGTGTGTGTGTGTGTGTGTGCGCGTGTGCGTACGTGCGTGCATGTGCACACATGGCTGCGTGCATGCGTTTTCACATGCAAGCTGCTTTTCGTTCTGCAAACGTTAATTTTTCTGCCTCTACTCCTTGACCTTTCACTCTACTACTCGTGTTGATTTCGAAGAAGATTCTAGTTGGGTGTTTCACTAGGTTGACGGAGTAGAAGACGAGAAAAGTCTGAAGAAAAAAATTGACTGCTACAGTGGAGATTGGATATATCGACCCTGAATATAACGACAGATGAGTTTAAAATAGCATTGAAAAATATCCATTGTGCACTCATAACCATGTATAAAACAATTAAAATGAAACAATTCCAGAATGTTTTCTCGTGACTATCATCAATGGAACATCGTCACATAGTAAGAATCACTAAAACAACCAGTTACATAGCTAGAGTAATAGGAAAAGAAGCGTGAGAATGCAGCACTGCTAGCGGTTATGCATGACGCGTGTAGTGTGAACCTTTGCAGTGTATCTGAGAATGGTAGCAGTAGATGAATGTGGCAGCTGTGAGTGTGTGTGGACAAAACTGGTGAGTGCGTATTGTATTTAAAAAGTGTGGGTGCTACAACATTCTCTTTTTGCTTGCATAGCACAGGCAGTTGCAGGTGTTGGAAGCTGTATATATTCGCAAACGTGACCCTGTGCTATGTGCTAGATTTACTGTCAGAATACTGGAAAGCAGGGCGACAACGCTCAGAAAAAGCCCTACACACGGATTTCCCTTCTACTTGACCGATTTCAAAATTTCTTTCGATAGATGTCCGCGTACTTGGCCGTCAAAGCAGCCTTGCGATTTTCGACGCCGTAGCTAGATAAACGGCTGCCAAGGAACCCTTTACAAATCGCCCAAATATTGCGATATTTTGAATTTTCCGTAACTCTGATTGGCTGCACGACCCTGACGCGCACGTGCTGCGTGCGTGATGAATCAAAAATGTCTGCGATGTCTAAGTACACAAGTGCGGCCCCTGAACTGGTTGTTTTAGTGATTCTTACTATGTGACGATGTTCCACTGATGATAGTCACGAGAAAACGTTCTGGAATTGGTTCATTTTAATTGTTTTATACATGGTTATGAGTGCAAAATTGATATTTTTCATTGCTATTTTACGACTGTTGTCTCCTCGTCGGTTATTTAGATTGAATTTAGCAACACAATTCAGTTGCCCAAGTCGTTTAGTAAGTCCTTTGTGAAGATCGGGTTTAGTGACAGATCGAATATAGTGACATTTTGTTCTCCCCCGAAGGAGTGTCGTTATATCCAATCTCCGCTGTAGTTAAGCTCTACTTGGGCTTATATCTTTGCTTTTTTTCTTGTTTTTTTTTGCTGTCTGTACCTAGATGTCTCCTCTTGCCCACGTGAGCATCTAGTACTGCACAGCGAGGGTGTAAGCAGTCATTGCGACATGCAGGACGATCCTAGGCGGGCGGACGATGGTCGCCTAAGCCATGCAGCAGCAGCAGCAGCAGAAGCGGTGATGGCTGCTGACTCTATGGTTGTGTTATCGCCTGGGCCAGACGCAGGTAGGAACTTTGCATCACCTGTGATGTTCTGTTCGCTTTCATGTCCAGTGGAACTCACTCGTTGTGTTCTCTGATGATAATAATGCCGATGCCGTATTATCCCTATTGCAACACACAGTCTCTTGTAGAAGCCCAGTCTCTATTATAAGTAGGGGTCAAACGGGTGTACCTTTAACTAACGAATGGGTAATTTTCTTAACGGGCGGGCTAACAGGTACCCTTTAGCAGCCATGTTTAAGATTTTGCGCAATTTTCACATAAATCAATATTTTAATTCATGTGTTCTCGGGTTTCATTTTGATATCACATTGGATTCGCAAATCGATTGGTGTCTGATAGTCGCAGGAGTAGATCTACTAGGCGCGAAAATGCAACAACAATGCATACATCCAGCGTGGAGTTGTAAATAATTGACTCCCACCTGGAATACATGATCCCAGCAGTGTTGCTCCGTACTGACTGGTTCATCAAAATCCAAACGGGTACCCTTTTACTAACGGTACCTGAGGTTAACGGTCGGGTACCCGGGTACCCGGTACACCCCTTTGACCCCTGATTATAAGCGCAATACAAGTCACACAGTATCGCATATACACATACTGTGGTACAAATCTGTGACCTCCGAGATAAAAAAAGTATAGACTCAGTGTACCAGGAAGCACAAAGCTGCAGTCACGGTACCTGCTGGGAAACTTTGTGCTACTGGAAAAATAAAAGATCATAACCAGCATCCGTGTACCAGATGGTTAAAAAATTATACGCCCAGTCTCTAAAAGAAGCCCGGAGTCCGGACTGGTTGAAAAATGATAAGCCCTGGGCTTATTGGAAATATGCGTGTAATACTGAGAAGAAGTAGCGACGACCCGGCCATTATGGAATCCAATCCAATACACCACGCCAGCACATTGCGCTCTTGGCCGATCCAAACTCTGCACTCTGGAGGGTCATTGTCAATATCAATCTATATACCGGAATTGTCCTCGCTGTGGTGATGGTGATGTGAGTGCAGAGTTTGGATCGGCCAAGAGCGCAATGTGGTGGTGTGGTGTATTGGATTGCGTGTAATACTCTGCATATTAATTTGTGCATTGAGCTGCCTTGACCGGCATTGTTTCTACCCTGATATCACCTACCCTTGCTTAGCACGGAAATGTGTCCGAAGCACGCCTGTATTGTCAGTGCTGATAGTCAATTGTCTAAGGTCCTCAGGCAGTGCTCTATGTCCAGTGGACAGAGACAGTAATACAATGATCACACGGCAATTTCGCAACCAAGCTCGCAACCAAGAGAAAGCATAGAATCTCCTGATGCCAGTGTGCATACTGGTTGTATTGTGTAGTGATGTCATCATGATGTCATCATGATGTCACAGATCATGGCCGAATCGGTGAGACACACTGTGCACGGTACTCGCTGTAAGTGGAGAAAGCATAGGATCTGCTGACGGCAGTGTGTGTATATTGGTTGTGTTGTGTTCGCTCGCAGACTGCATGCAGGACACCGCCAGCATTGCCGTTGCATCGGCCCCCGCTCCTGTCAAGCGAAAACAAAGCAACGCCAGTGCGGACGAAACGACACCGCCGCAAACGCCATCGTCCAAGCGACCATGTCGCAAGGCAGCGCGAGCGGCACACAAAACCTGGCTGGGAGAGACGGCGGCGGCGGGGCAAGAGTCAGCACCGATGACCGCAGCTGTACACAGTCGCGCTTCCACTGTTCCGACCACACTCGCAGCACAGATCGATGACGGAGGACACGGACTCACGGCTGGTGGCGTGGCAGTGCCGGTGGCAGTGGAGGTAGGCGGCAAGAACATCATCATGAACACCATGGAGCTGGTGATTGGCAGCACTGGTGGTATTGTGTCTGTCAATCAAATGCAACCAGGTGAGTTGTTTGCTCACGGGTCCACCGTGTATCACAGGGTATCAGCTATCCTCCTTGTCAGAGTTAGTACTCTCCTTTGTTGGGGGGGGGGGGGGGGGGTAATGCACCATGGTGGCTTTTTTGCCAATCTTTGCCATATGCGTGCTACATGTCATAGTGACCCATAGCATGCCTTGCGAGCAGCCACTCCCAGGATCCATCTGCCTGTACTGCGTCCATGCGTACAAACTGGATCCGAAAGTCAGCGTTGGCATGGCTGCGGGCTGGTTGTGGTGTACCACTTTCAAGTCCTATGGAGCTGTATCCACTGTGGCAATTGGAACATACAGGTCTACCCTCATTTGTAGACAATCCCGGGGGTTTCAATTTGTTTGTCTTGTAGCGAGTATTATCTACTATCCGGACTTGCATGTACTCTTGGTTTCAGGCATCAGGTGATTTTGGATGGTTGTCTACCAATGAGGGTAGACCTGTATAGCAGCGCTTGCTCCAGGGCCCAGTGAGCCGGGTTGGTGACCTGTTTGAAATGATTTCAAATAAATTAGCCAAGTACACACTGACCTGGTTGACATTGGGTTCCTTTGTGAGCGTTTATAAATTAAATTTTATATTAACTACTCCATATCAGGGTGGGTGGTGATTTTTTCTTTCTTTCGTACCTGGCTTGCAAGTGTTGAGTTTCAGAGAGAAAAGAGCAGTACGTGGCATGTGGCCTCTAATTTCCTAATATTTGAAATTCTCTGCGAAGTCCAAATTTGAAATTACAGGGTGGGTGACCCGACTTAGAAGCTGGAGCCAGGTACAGCTGTAGCCGGCTGATCCTCAACCTTACATCTACGTTGGTTTGCTTTTCTCTCTCTTCTTCCCTATGCACAGAGGTGGTGTCTGGTTGTGAGTTCCTCGTTCAATCTCAGCCAGCAGTATTGTCAGGAGTGCGGACGCCTCCCCGGAGCGGCGCAGGCAGCAGCTTGCCCGAACCGGTGACAGTTACCGGTGGTGTTGCTAGTAGCAGCGCATCATCATCCAGTGCACCTGCCGTCAAGCTGGAGATTGTCAACAAACTCTACATCACCGTCAAGCCCCAGTGAGCGTGTACTTGTAAGGCAAGTAGTGCTGTTGCTTTTGGTGGCAGAGTAGTCTACTTGCCCCTGTTCCAGTGCGCTCACCCAATTCTGGTGCGTTCAACCTGTTCGGGTCGTTCTCACCTTGTTCTGGATGTTCTCGCCCGGTCTGGTGTAGTCTGCTTGACGCGATGAATTCCATCAATCTTTTTTTTTGAGAGTGCTCACCCCATTCTAGTGCATTCTAAGTTCTGCAACGCATTCCATCTGCTGTGGTGTGCCCACCTCGTTCTGGTGTGATCTACGTGGTACTGTGCGCTGGTTCTGGAGCGCCAGAGTTGGTCTGCTAGTTTCGATGGTGCTTATCCTGTTCCGGTGCTCTCAACCAGATCTGGTGGATTCCACTGGTCCCACTGCATTCAACTTTCTCTGCCGGACTTGACCGGCAGCTCTCGTGTACGGCTTGTTCAGATCTAGGGACGTTCCCCAGGGTGTAGTAAACCAGCCTGGCTTATTCAACCAATTTCAGGACAATCAATCTCTCTCTTAGTGTGCTCAATCAGCTCCAGTCAGAGCCCGTTTGGCTCAACACAATCAGCTCCGGTCAGAGCCTGTTTACCTCTACGCAGTTAGCCTGTCATCGTAAACAGGCTGTGCTTGTTGATAATACTTGATAACTGCTTTACCCCCAAAGAATTCATACAGCTCTATACCAGGCCGCCGTTTTGAGGACTCATACTACCACAGGACATATATGATTTGAGTTTGGCGCGGCCATGAAAATCACCGCCGGTCATCACATGTCTCCCTCGCGGCAAAGCTGCAGTGTTCCGCACTGCTTTTGTATATTGTGGACGCCTCCAGCGTTGGCAGAGTACTGCATAGGCACTGACTGGACCATAATGTTGCTGAGTTCCGGCGAGATCCCGCAGCCAACCACGCAGGAGAACGGATGAAGATGCACGCACGAATGCACGCTCGGTGATGTTGACGTTGTTGAATGACGTCTGCACACGTATGCTCACATGCAGCGTTACACTGTGACTGGCAGCAATGTTAGCCCGATCACTGTGAGTGTGATCTTCATGTTCACACGCTTGATTGCTATACACATTCTCTGAGCTGTGTTGACGCCCGTCGCACTGGTGCCTGTGACTTGGCTAACATGTATCATAAGAGAAAACCACCGCGGAAAGAAACTGGCGGGACAAAGAGCCTGATCTGCGTCCGCAATCCGCTCGTTCTTTCTCTTGCGTTGCGTGTTATTAACCAGCTTTGTCTGCGTTGCAGATCTATCTGCACATAGCTATTGTACGCATTGTCCTATCTCATGTCCGATATAGACTAAGAGTGCCTGAAGACTGTGGTATGAGATTTCCATGTTTCTACTCAGTCTAGTTTGTTTATGCTGACCTAAGTTAGTTCTTTCGCTGCCGTTGCAACCAAACAACAGATAATTATATCAGCTGCGCGCATGTACAAGCATGAGTACACATATTTTTCGTTGTTACTGCTGCTGCCTCTGTTGTGAGCAATTTGTGTGCTGCTGTTTCATCACTGCTCGTAAGTCGCTGCGTGCGATTTCCTGTGTGTGTGTTTGTGCTATGCTCTGGTATGTTGTGGCTATTATTTGTAAGGATGTCTTCTGCAGCGTTGCAGGTGTACGATTGTCGCCGTACAAGCCACAAAGCCGGGCGGTTACATCTAACACGTTTGTTTCAGGTTTGTGCTGGGAGAGGCTTTGTGCTGCGTGGAACGAGCTGCTGGCACGTTACCTGCGGCCGTGCCAGCACTCATCAGGTTGTTTATAGCAGGCGATTCACACGACAGGAAAATCACCATGGAGGTATCCTGGGTGCGACCAAAATTTGTCTGCGAGAATCAAAAGCGTCCATGGGCTTTTTGCCCTTGGATGCACTCATCTGCGGGCACTTTTACAGTTAGCTGGCACTGTAATCGCGTCAATTATGACGTCACTTAACCTGTAGTGTCCATGCAGCAATGTCTTGCTGTTGAAATGCTGCTACAGCATGCTAGAAACCGTACACCTTGCCCGCTGTTGCAGCCATGCAGAGCCTTTGGAAACTGACGCAGCACAGCTGAAAGCATTCAGCGGAAACCAGCGAGCGCTTGCACATGTGATGACAGTCAAGAGTCACATGGGCTGACAGTCAAGGCTGAGCTTAGTAAAATCCTAGCCTGTGTGTTCTTCGGCGCTCAGTTAGGACACAGGTTACAGCTGTGTTATGCTACCTCTTCCCAGCAGTAAGCAGAATACTCATCGATCTGAACAGTTCTTGTTGAATGTTGAACGGTCTCTGCTGGGATGACGCCTACACCATAGGCATAGCTCAGTGGTTAGAGCATCGCTGGCTACAAGCCAGGGTCCCTGGTTCGAGTCCTGGTGGTGCCAGTCAATTCTTTCTTCAGACTGTTCCCGTTTGTGTCTTTCCCTCAAACCAGTGAAAATTCTAGTTCTAATGATAACTATAACTAATGACCAATGACTAACGGTTTACCAAACTGTAACTTATTTTACTACTACACGTCTAAGTCGAGTCACGTGACAACACGGCAAAACCTGCCAGGGAGTGCTGAGAAAGTCAACAAGTTTGCTTGACATCTACATGCCCACTGTACATGCATCTCAAACACATCTACGACTACGAGGCGCAAATCAACAACCTTGCAACTAACTGAAGTTACTTGGAAGGCTCAGGTTAGAAAAGGTCCACTGTAAGGGGAAGCAGAACTGCCAAATTTGTAAATAATTACTCTGCGGTAGGCAGGTCTCTACCCTCCTCCCCCCCCCCCCGTTTGGGCTGCCAGTAGGGAGTTCGCCTGCCCTCAACATCTAGAGATGCCACTGCGAGTATGAAATTTTCAATTCTGGTCGCGAGATCGAGATGAGATAAAGCAAAACATTATAATATTTTGAAAATCCCCCTCATTTCCGCCCGATAGGAAGATTTGACACCTCTGAGGATAGGGAGGAAAGTGCTAAGACGGTAAGAAGTACTTCAATAGTTAGGCACGACCCGTCGAGCTACGTCCCACGGCAACAACGAATGCTTAGTGTTACTACTAGATGATGACCAAACAAGTAACTCGTGACTCGTACTGACAGTCTGTGTTGGAGTTAGGTGTCAATTTGTCGTATGAATCATGTGTCTCAGCACTTCCTGTCAGTTGTGTGCATTGTTTTCTCACTCTCAGACTGTGTAATTGGCTACTTTGGTGACCAGTTAGTCAGAACTCGTAACAATGTCATAATTATTGTCCTTGAAGAAAAGTAAAGTAGAAAAGAAAGGATCAAGGAACTACAAGTTACGCTATAATGTCCACTACCACCACCAGTTACTAAACAATCAGCTCATGCGATAACATTGCACGACACTGACGTTCTACAACTAACTGGCTAACAGCTCTAGCACATCTTGGATGCGCGCTCCAACAGCCTTCCAACTTCGAAGGGTCTAAGTTATAATGATAACATAGGAGGGAAGGTGAGAGCAACCAAGACAAGCACGAGCTGAAAGTCTCAGCTGTGAAGGACTTGTCCGCATAGCTTCCCCTTTAATTGATCTTCGCATCTTTGAGCCACACAAGTTGTGTGGAATGTTGCTTTGCGTCCTTTAATCATGGTTTGACCGCATTGTCCAATGGTCTTGCCAGTATCGCCATCGACATCACATGCATGTACATCCGCCAACGTCCTTCACAGCTGAGACATTCAGGTCATGCTTGTCTTGGTTGCTCTCACCTTCCCCTCCTATGTTTATCATTATAACTTAGACCCTTCGAAGTTGGAAGGCTGTTGGAGAGCCGCGCGCATCCCAGATGTGCTAGAGCTGATAGCCAGGTAGTTGTAGAACGTCAGTACCGCCGGTCAGTGTCGTGCAATGTTATCGCATGAGTTGATTGTTTAGTACCTGGTGGTGCTAGTGGATATTACAGCGTATTACGCTATAATATCAAGTTTAACTTGATAATTATTATAGCGTATTACGCTATAATAACAAGTTAAACTTGTACTAGTGGTTCCTCGGTCCTTTTCTTTCCTGTAAATGTATCCTTGGCTCTCCATGCGAGTCCATTATTGTTCCTGGCTCTGTTTTTCTTGTTAGTACTTGTTTGATGTGTTTGCTAGGTTGAGACCCCTTGCATCTTGTAGAATGCCACCGGCCAAGTCATCGTCCTCCGCCAACGCTGCAGCCAAGGCGAAATCTCGCCAAAAGCGGCCTCGTCGCAAACCTTTCACGCGACTCGGCCCCGAACGGCGGAAAGCTACCATCCGGGAGCGGGTGCGATCGAATACGCTGAAGGACGCGCTGGAGGACCTTCGCTGCATGATCTGGAAAGATCCGGATGACGTCATATGTTCGACTGTAGTAATCTTACGAACTGCCACTGAATATATCTCTTTGCTGATGGAAGTTGCGGACACCGGAGAATTACCGAAACAAGCGGATGGTGTAACGTTGTCGGCGCTCGCACTGCGTCTGCGCAGCTATATAGACAGGGATCTGCTGACTAAATCCGGCAAGCCCAGATATCTGCAGTCCAATGACAACGAACTACCAGCCGAAGATGGAGACGATGCTGCTGTCGATCTTAGCGAAGCAGCCAGCCCAGTCGAAGCAGCCAGCCCAGTCGAAGGTGACGATGACATCGAGGCGAATGATACAAATACCGCAGATACAGACGTAGCAGCCATGTTCGTGGAGAGTTCAGAGACGCGATCCAGCACCCTTTCTTCCACCTCCCACCCAAGCTACTCAGCGTAAACAAAGCTAGTACTCTCAAGGATCAGATCACGGATGTCATATTGTGATGTGAGGTGAGGTAAGTATAGAGACCAAGCAGAATACACCAAGGTGCAGAGCACAGATGTCATATTGTGATGTGAGGTGAAGTGTAGGTATAGAGACCAAGCAGAATACACCAATGCGTAGAACCTAGTACACACACTTGAGAGGAAGCAAAAGCGTTTCTGCTGTCCGGTGATCAGTTAAAACCGTGAAACTCAGAGTTACAGCAGAAACGCTTTTGATTATTCTCAAGTCTGTTTACTACACATACACGTACGACCGAGGCGAAAGGCTGCGTAGCTGTGGATTGTACAGCCTTTTTGCCTACGCCGGTTGTGTGTGTAGACTGCTCTGCTTTGAGCTGCTTCAACTGGCCTCGTTCAAATACACAATGGTCATACTATTATGATTATGTTCACTCAACCTCCGGTCAGCTAGCTGTTTTGATCTTGTCAGATATTGCCCGCTGGGGTCAAAGTTACTGGCTGAACTGATCCTGAGCGGTACAGATACGCTCCTGAGCACGGATTTGACTTTCAACCGCGATCTTGATTATTGTGATCTCGATTCGTATTTGGAACAATATAATGGACAGTTTGGGCCCTTGAATCTTGAGAATGTACTTGCGGAATTCCAAGGCAATGGCGCAATCCCAGCACAAACAGAACAGACTCTCTCTCTCTCTCCTGCGCCAGAGGATAGTGGACCAGCGGCCCAGGCTGGTCTAAACACTCATCTCCATTGTTGTATACACCGTTAATCCCGTTAACCGTTATCCCCAAACCCCCTGCCATCACTGCTGCTGCCATCGCTGCTGCTGCCATTCCTGTTGCTCCACCATTCCCTTTGCCTGGGGCATCCATCGTTGCCATTCCTGTGGCTGCTGCTGCCATCGCTGCTGCTGCCATTCCCGCTGCTGCTGCTGCTCATATTCCCATTGCTGCTGGTACTGCTGCCATCGCTGCTGCTGCCATTCCTGCTGCCGCTGCTGCTGCTCGTATTCCCATTGCTGCCATCGCTACTGCTGCTCCTGTTCTTGTTCCTGTTGCTGAAGCTGTTGGCGTATACGTTGTTGTCTTTGCTGAAGCTCATCGATTAAGTTTTGTGGTAGAAGCAGTCCTTGGTCTTTAATAAGTAGTCGTTGATGTAGCAGTTCTTGTAGTAGGTGTTGTTGCCCTTGCTGTAGATGCAAGGTCTGCAGGTTTGGCAGCTGCTGGACTGCTGGGGGAGGATGATGACTTGGTCTGTGGCATTCGATAACATTTAAGGTCTCCAACTATCGAAGGGAAGGGAAGCGCCATGAAGCTGAACATGAGCTACATTCCAAGTCAGAGTGGGATGCTGGCTTGGTACGATAACTGGATGGTAAGACCATTGCTAGCATTGGACAATAGGGCCTAACCACAATTCGACAACGCAAAGCAACAGCCACCCAGCTTGGGAGGCTCAATTTCATCAAGGATAAGAAATGAAAGAGAAGCTTCGCGACGACGAATTGTAACAAACCGAATGCCGATATCTTACAATACTGTACTTGGTACATGATTATGAAGTATGATAGACAAACTAACTACAATAACAGGAGTACATTGTGCTATTGTATCACACGACCATCGTTTCGCCGTATGGATCATGATGGCTCTTCAGGTGTGCAGTATGTATCAGACGGTGAGCCAAGGAAAATATTAAATACTTGTACTTGGCTCACCGTCTGATACATACTGCACACCTGAAGAGCCATCATGATCCATACGGCGAAACGATGGTCGTGTGATACAATAGCACAATGTATTCCTGTTATTGTAGTTAGTTTGTCTATCATACTTCATAATCATGTACCAAGTACAGTATTGTAAGATATCGGCATTCGGTTTGTTACAATTCGTCGTCGCGAAGCTTCTCTTTCATTTCTTATCCTTGATGAAATCGAGCCTCCCAAGCTGGGTGGCTGTTGCTTTGCGTTGTCGAATTGTGGTTAGACCGTATTGTCCAATGCTGGCAATGGTCTTACCATCCAGTTATCGTACCAAGCCAGCATTCCACTCTGCTTTGGAATGTAGCTTGTGTTCAGCTTCATGGCGCTTACCTTCCCTTCTTTGGAATTATCACTAGTATCCATGAACCTTCCAAGTTGAAAGGCCGTTGGTTGGCGCAATGGAGTAGTGGCTCAAGCTGACTTCCTTGCCGCTGAATGTCTCACTATACCTTAATGGTCAGTCTGGCGCTACTACCTTGTGCACGTCTGACTGTTCAAAACCTGGTTAGTTGGTGAACTCTAACGCATAACTTGTACCTCACCGTTTTCTTTGTTTCCATTAATGTTAGTATCTTCCTTGGCTCACCATCTGAGTACTTATTGTACATTATACTAAATGTAAAGAAGTATTCTTTCTAGACCAAAGAGTGGTATATTTGATAAATAAAGATAGAAATATTAACGATACTTCTCTGGAGAAGTATCGTTAATATTTCTATCCGAAGTTTATTTACTTCTATCTTTATTTATCAAATATACCACTCTTTGGTCTAGAAAGAATACTTTTTTGATGTTACAATGAGAGTGGATAATCAACGGCTTGTCCACCAACTCTTTAAATGTTCTGCCCTGGCCCATCATCAGTGTACCATGGTGCACTAGAATGACAGCCCTGCAGCCTGGGAGGCTCACGACTGGTAACGAAAGGTCCAACAGGGAAGCAGTACTGCTGACTTCAGTTCTTCTGTTAGTGGTGGATCTCCGTCCAGGTTGGGCTGCCAGTAGGGAGTTCCCCCCCCCCCAACATCTAGAGATAACAATGGGAGTTTGAAACAGTGTGCCGGTCACATCAACCAGTTCACCATTACTAGCTGTACATGTACATGAATGAATAGCACACAGGTACATGTACTTGCATTTTAATTCGTGCACAGTATACTGTACATATACAATCATATTATTATTGTAGGGCGGAGATATTGTCAGCTCCGGTCGGGACTGGCGAGTAGCCCTTTCCCAAAGGTGCTCGCCCTTTTTTTCGCACTTTTTGGCCCTTTTTGGAAAAGCCCGTTTCTTTCGCCCTTTATTGCGTTTTTGGTGAATATCGCCCTTTTTGAGCTTTTTTAGCTGAAAAAGTGCTAAAATCTGTTTGCTCATGCATGCGATCACATGCACAGTTTCCGAGTGCTCGATGGGCCTTGGCACGCCGCTTTTTTTGGGGGGGGGGGGGGCCCGGGGGGGGCAACAAGTTGTGAAGCCTGTACCCGGTGTACACAATCCTGTAAAAAGTGGGATTTTTGAACTTTACTTCCTGTTTTGCCTTTCGTGGACCGATAAATGGAAGAGTGCGTATTCCTTTCTCAGCTTGGGTTCATATCTGAACATGTGTCATGGCTATCCTTCACTGAAAAAAGAGCACTTTTTGCTTGTTTTCACCGAAAAAGAGCACTTTTTCAGCATAATATAATTTTGAGGGACGCGAAAAGCACTGAGTGCGAATTAAAAGAGCACCTTTGGGAAGGGGCTACTGGCGAGATCAGGAGATAAACATTATTTTTTATTAAAAATTTAATATGTTTTGAAACCTCTCCCCGGCCGATCGAGCCCTAGGCTCCTAGCCCTATCAGGCTATCTCCCACCTAGAACCTGATAGGAAGAGTAACTGTTGACACCTCTGAGGAAGGAAAGCGCTACGCACGACCCTTGACTCGGCTTGAGTCGCACATGTACATCTACATGTACGTCTCATGGCAACAAACGGAAAGCAGAATGTTACCATGGTTACTGGATAATGGATTGGATGGCATGGTGAGAGTGCCGGGTGACCATGACTAAAAAACTAAACAGTACTCAGTAGACCCAGGTGCTCGAAGTCCGTACACTTTTACAGTGTGTGTTTGCCGAGCTGAAACTCACACTAGCAATGATAACTTGCCAGAATCCTGCTTGTGGATGGAAGGTATCTTATCCAAGTTTGTTCTGAGGCCAGGCTCGATTGAACCAGGCCATCTTTCGATCCGATCTGTTTCTCTGGAGTTCGCTGATTTTTCATATCAAATTTTGGTGTCGCAGAGGGTACTCTAAGTCCGTACTGATCAGAGGTGACTCGAAATACACACGTATTTCTGCTAATTGCTAACTTAAAATCCCTCGGTTGCGACGAAAGCACCGAAGGGATATGTTTGGCATGTGCCTCCACCAGTATTTCTTGCAAAAGCGTAGTTTGTTGCCGAAATGCAAGCTGTTTTCAGTCGGCCCAGAGAAGAAGCAGCTGCGCTGTGAAAACCGCGGGAAAACAGTGGTGGAGATGCCAGGAGTGTCAACCTTTCTGCAAGGATTGGTGGTTCTCTGTAAATTCTTCTCCTCTGGCCATTGTCAGCTCTAAGCTGGCTCTTGATGATTGAGTGAAGGTCTGTTTGACGCTGTGTCCGTTCGAAATCGGTCTTGGCAAAGTTGATTTTTGCATGAAATGTAACCCAATTTGTATTTCGTATGGACACTCGAAAACCCACTCGCGTGGTATGGGACTTCTGCTTATCGTAGATCCCTGAAAATTGCTACGCGAGGAGAATACACCACACTGTCCCCTCCATAAAATATTTGAGTCGAATACAATAACAGAACATGAAATTATGGGCGTACGAACTTAGGATACCATGTACGGACTTCGAGCACCTGGGTCTACTCAGTAGACCCCGAATAGCCTGATTCCAGTAATAGACTCGTGACGTGAATCGTGGAGCTACATGTACGTCATTGATACAATCATCCTAATAAATAAAGTTATTATTATTATTATTATCATACACAAAACTCAAAGGCACAATGGAGGTTTACAGAGTTGTCGCAACTCGGAGTTTCTTGCTCAATGCAATCATCAGGTGACAAATATTCCGACAATCATGTAGATGTCACGACAGTGTCAGTTTTGTGCCTTGTTGGCGCACTCTCTGACTGTGTAAGGATCTGGTCACTTTGGTGGACAGTTACTCATAACTCGTAAGCGTGTCATGATAATAATATTGTTATTGTCCTTGCTCTTTTCTGCTTGAGAAGGTTTGGTTTGTTTGATAGTTTGAGACACTGTACATGTGTTTTTGTACAATACCACCGACCAAGTCATCGTCCTATCCCAACGCCGCAGCCAAGTCGAAGTCTAGCCGCGAGCTAAGGGCTAACAAGTGGCCACGTTGCAAAGCTCCCCAGCGACTTGTCTCCGCGAGGCGGAAAGCTAACGAGCGCGAGCGAGCGAATCAGCAGTCGGAAGCAACGGAAGACGTCCGTTGCATTTTCTGGAAAGATAGGAACGATATCTTTTGTCCGAATGTAGATGACAGTATTGTAATATTCATAGCGTACATCTCTTTGCTGAAGAAAGTTGTGGAAAAAGGAGAATTGCCATCGCCCGAAACAAGCGGATATTGTAACTTTTCCGGCGCTCAAACTACTCCTGGGCAGACGAATATGTCGACTGGGTCCGGCGGAAGCAGGCTCTTGCAGCCCAAGAGAACCGAACTAGCTCACGAAGAGAAAGATGACGGCACAGTCGAAGGTGGGATCGGCGAGGTGAATGATGCAAGTCCACCATACCGAGGCAGACAAGAGCACCGGTACAGTCCAGCAGCTACACGACCTTTGACAGGACCATCCTATCCTACAGTACCCCAAGATCACCAGGAGTTCTTTTCACCATGGACATGGTCATGGAGCACGGAGAACATTCGGAAAATGCCCCAGGATCAGGAGCAGGTTGCTGCTCATACCGCGCAGCAACCAAGATCGCCCTATGATCATGATGATCAGCTACATACGATCACATCCACTCCTCTGGCAGCTGTAAGCAGTGGCAGTGCAAATCCATCAGAGCAGCAGGCGAGCCACTCGAACATGATGCTTCCTGCCCCACACTCTACATCATACACACAAGCCATAGATATGCAACCCAGAGGGGGCAGAAGGCGTGACATTAGCCACACTCCCATCAACAGCAGTGTCAGGCAGCCAGCTCTGAATGAGAATGCTTCTCTGTATGCTAGCTCCAGTGCACTGGACCATGCTGGGAGTGGACCGGCTGTCAATGCCACTGACATGGACTCTTTGCAATCTGTGCGGTCTGTTCCTCATGTGTCTTCCAGTGCTAGCAACCTGACCCATTCAGGTAGTGTGAGCATAGAGATGCCTATAGGTAGGCCCCTGCATGGTTATATTATGACTCAGCAGCAGCAGCCTACAGCAGCCACGCAAAATACCTCACAAGCTATGTCCAGTAGACAAGCAATGGCAAGGCAAGAACCGCATGCTGACCAAAGGGCCCTGCAACACATACCTCCAGCACCAGCAGCCACCTTTCCACTCCTGCCTTTCTCCTCCTCACCAGTGCCAGCCAGGCTGCATACAACATTCCACAGTTCACCACAGCACAGCAGCATGACCACTGGTACTAGCAAGAGCAGTGCACAAAGCGTGTTAGCAGCAGCAGCAGCACAAGCAACAGCTGAAGGACGTACAGACCGTAGTTATGTGGCTGAAACTAGAGTTGCTGATACAGCCCCACTCCAAGATCGTTCTGCAGGCCAGCAGCTGCCAAACCTGCAGACCCTTCATCTACAGGAAGGGCAACAACAACAACAACAACAACAACAACAACCACAACAACCACAACAACAACAACAACAACAACAACAACAACAAGAACAACAAGAACAACAACAACAACAACAACAACAACAACAACAACAACAACAACAACAACAACAACAACAACAACAACAACAACAACAACAAAAACGAAACAAAAAACAAAAACAACGAAAACAACAAAGACAACAGCAACATGAAGCAACTCAACTTCTAGTGTCTGCAGAAAATTTACATCAACGACTGCAGGAAGAGCAATTACAACACCTACAACAACTAAAAGAACAACCACTGATACGAGAGGTTATGCAACTACTAATACAACTGCAACTACAACAACTACGACAACAGCAACAACTACAAAAACTACAAAAACAACTACAAACAGAACTACAAAATCTACAAAAACAACTACAAACACAACAACACACAACAACAACAACAACAACAACAACAACAACAACAACAACAACAACAACAACAACAACAACAACAACAACAACAACAACAACAACAACAACAACAACAACAACAACAACAACAACAACAACAACAACAACAACAACAACAACAACAACAACAACAACAACAACAACAACAACAACAACAACAACAACAACAACAACAACAACAACAACCACAACCACCACAACAACAACAACCACAACAACAACAACCACAACCACAACAGCAACTACCACAATAGCAACAACAGCATCAGCAACAACTTCAGCAACAATATCAAGAAATCAACAATATCGACAACAAAAATGCCTTGAACCTCAGCAAAGACAACAGAAGTAACATGAGCAGCAGCAGAGCACGGATGTCGTTACAGAGGCGCACCTGAGCACAGATCAGACCATTCTACTTCTTGAGTTGGAATCAGACACAGCATTCAAATGCAGACTTTGTACAATAGTTTCAGCATTGACCAGTGAGTCACATGACGATGAGCATACATTTGCGTGCGTGAATTTCCTTCACTCTATGACATCATTACCGGACCAGACTCTCTCTCCTCTGCTAGAGGATAGTGGACCAGCAGACAAGCAGACCAGACTGTCTCTCCTCTGCTAGAGGATAGTGGACCAGCAGACAAGCAGACCAGACTGTCTCTCCTCTGCTAGAGGATAGTGGAGCAGGAGACCAGGCTGCTCCAAGTGTAGATCAATGGTTAACACCGTGTGTACACAGAGCGGGACTCTCCTCACTTGGCATACGGGACACCAGTCCACTACCCAAGGCACCAGACAACACGCCTGGCAACACCTTCAGCAACTGCTACATACCGCAAACACAGTCATACTTGCTTTTTACTTGAAGACCATGGATACCATACAGTAGACGCCGCTGGAAAGATTCGGACTTGAGAGCGATCAGTGAATGTTGCAGTGGACAGGAGGATATCAATCTGTTCGCTGGTACCCCCCCCCCGAAAGTGGCGCATTTGTATCAGATCCGTATAGTGTTGGGGAGCATGAATAAGCGCGTGTAGATTCTGAGTAACTCTCAGCGTGGTATCGCCGGGATCATATTCCCACTAGTATCTAAGTCTGAGCAATGGCTAGGACTAAGGTGCCCGTTCTGCTGCAACATGTTAATACTTAGTCTATTACTAGTGTATGGTTTGAATGTGTTCGTCTTATGCCCTTGTGTATGTGATGTCTTATGCCCTTGTGTATGTGATGTCTTATGCCCTTGTGTATGTGATGTCTTATGCCCTTGTGTATGTGATGTCTTATGCCCTTGTGTATGTGATGTCTTATGCCCTTGTGTATGTGATGTCTTATGCCCTTGTGTATGTGATGTCTTATGCCCTTGTGTATGTGATGTCTTCCTGTCCAGTAGTGTAACAATTCAATACACCTAACCATACCATTATCATACGTCATCACACACACACCATTATAACTAGAATTGTTAAAAGTATTCGTAGCACTTACCGCTGGGAAGGTCAACAGGTGCAGGGGTAGCCTGTGTGCTAACGGGATTGTCCAGTCTAAACAGTCGTCTCCATTGTTGTATATAGTTCCTATGCCCGTTACCCCCCCCCCCCCACCCCACCTGCTAATATCCACTCACAGAGTGTCAATTCACCTCGATTGTTTTTAGTCCCACTTCTCCAGCTCCACATTCAACAGGAGTGTCCCCTTCCCATATTCCCCAATTGTTGTCAATTTTTCGTTAATCGTGATTAGTCTTTGTCTTCATCTGCTGTGCAACATTGTCATACCTGTCTTTCTCATACCTCTGCCGTTGTGTCGGTGTGTCTGCGTGTCTCACTCTGTCTCTGTCTCTCTGTCTCTCTCTCTGTCTCTCTCTCTCTCTCTCTCTCTCTCTCTCTCTCTCTCTCTCTCTCTCTCTCTCTCTCTCTCTCTCTCCTCTCTCTCTCTCTCTCTCTCTCTCTCTCTCTCTCTCTCTCTCTCTCTCTCTCTCTCTCTCTCTCTCTCTCTCTCTCTCTCTCTCTCTCTCTCTCTCTCTCTCTCTCTCTCTCTCTCTCTCTCTCTCTCTCTCTCTCTCTCTCTCTCTCTCTCTCCTCTCTCTCTCTCTCTCTCTCTCTCTCTCTCTTCTCTCTCTCTCTCTCTCTCTTCTCTCTCTCTCTCTCTCTCTCTATCTCTCTCTGTCTCTCTCTCTCTGTCTCTCTGTCTCTGTCTCTCTGTCTCTGTCTCTGTCTCTCTCTGTCTCTCTCTGTCTCTCTCTGTCTCTCTCTGTCTCTCTCTGTCTCTCTCTGTCTCCCTCTGTC